AATATTAATGAAAAACTGGGACCATAGAAAAAGTTCACATAATTGAGGTTCGACTGTAGTCCACTTTACAGTTGCTTGCTTGGTTGTCAAGCCTTTGAACAGGAGTGAGGCTAAAGGTGACCTTTTATGATACAAACCTTGCTACTTTTCAAATGTAAATTACTTTGTTATCATGCTAACTAGATACAGGTCTCTATCACAACAAGGTCACCTCCAGGCTCACTCTAAATCAAAGGCTTGGCAACTAAGTACACAACTGTGAGATGGCCTATTGTTTTCATATGATTCTACTAGTCTATCAAAAGTTAACAAGACATGCTTGTGGTTTATTTTATATTTTTTACAACTGCATGTTGTTGGTACTTTATAAAATTATCGATGAAATTCTTGTGTGGTTAATGATGTCGGTAAATTTGGATCTACGTTGGTATCTGAGCAAATGCAGACCCACCCCTCCCCTAAGTCAACCTTAACCATAACTCGTATTCAGTTGACTGACATGCATCTCCAAATTTTGTTTCCAACAGCATATGAAAAGTATGGTTTCTCTGGCATATTTGTGGCATCAACCTTGAGCACTGCATTCTTTGCACTGACAACTGTGTGTTTCCTGGCATTTAACAGGCAGTCCCGCAAACTGTGGAGCTTCTGGTGGTTCAGGATCCAGAAATGCTGCTGTGAGCAGTCTTAAAACTTAGCAGGCAAAGCCTGAATTGTGGTTGAAATGTGGAATTCATTTTCCTCAATTTCTGCTTGTGATCTGTAAACTGATTTTCTAATATAACCTATGCAAAACAATGTTCAATTTTAAGCAGTAGTTTCATCTTGTTTTGATGTCATTTTGCATGAAAATGAAATAGACTTCCTTCATTGTTAAGAAGAAATAACTGCTTTTAGCGAACCAACATTTTTGTGGTGTTATTGAATAAATGTTATTACTCATGAAGAAACACTGGATCACTTAGGTCCCTGGGAAACCAGTACCTATTTGATTAAGACAATTTTTCTCTTGTGTATGTTCACTTGTTTCCCAGAAACTGCAAGTAGCCAAAGTATCAATTTAAAAAAAAATATTTTTCTATGCAAAAAGAGAGCATCTCAAAGAAAAAACAGGCATTTCCAAAGGTGCTGACAAGGAAAATTTGTTTAAGAATCAAGTGGGATTCGAGGGTTATATTGTAAGGAAACATTAGATGCTGGGGCCGATTTCTTGAAAGTCCTGGTAACTTAATGGGCCTGTAAAGCTGTTCTGTTTTCATCCAAGATGGAGATTTCAAAAGTTTTAAAAATGATACAATAAAACTATTAGCTAAAGGAACAAAAAGGACTGGTTTGGGTGCCACAACCTGCTTTCATATCCTTTACATTTTGATTTTAAAACATGGCTTTGGGCCCTTAAAGTTACTGAGACTTTCGAGAAACAGGCCCCTGGTCACTTAGTTAGGGGTCAACAGGTTATACTAACTAGGTATTAATTTATATTTAGCCAGTAGACTGTTTAGTGTTAACTCCAGCAGCGCTTAAAATTGGCTGATCTTAAGCATAGTCAATCTATTTTGAAATGTTTAAGTTAAAATTGTACTTTTATACTGAGAGTGATGTTATTTAGCAACGCTCATCTTCACTGGTGCTCTCCTTTTGATATTCAACCAAAGATTAAAATCATTTTTAATGATATTGAAAGAAAAGTTTATCATTATTGGCTACAAGTTGTCAAATTTTTAAGACTGTGGACATCAAAAATATTTCTGGAAATAAAAATCAATTGGGAAAGAAAACTGGACACTGAATTGCAAGGTTAATTAGTCAGTGGTTTCCTTGTTATCCCATCTGACCTGGTCTGTGATGTGATTGGTCAAAGCACAATGAACTTTTCTGGAATATTTAACGTGTTCATAGTTTGTAATATTGACAGTAATGGAAGAAATATAAAACAATATTTTCCTGAAAAATATTATTGATATTATTTCGAATTTATTAGAATGTTCATAACAACCTTCAAAACGATCTTAATAAACTTTCCGACGCTTTAAAACGTAGTTCTTTTCCTTCGCATATTATTGACAGAACTTTCAAGCGGTATCTTGACGGGGGTTTGCGGTCAAATCGCCTACGACCAAACTCACCTACGAACAAACCTGCCTACAACTGTTCAGCTCGCATACGTAGGCGACTTGGAGCAACTTCAGAATACCCGTCCACATCATTTCGACTTCGCCTCCTCACGCAGGCAAGTTCGCTCAAGTAATACATATATCTTATTAACCAAGCGCGAGGGCCGTACTGGGAGAATATCGGCCCGAGGTCTTAACAGTACGGACCTCGCTGCGCTCGGTCCGTACAAAAAAGACGAGGGCCGATATTCTTCCAGTACGGTCCCGCGCAAGCTTGGTTAATAAGAGATTTATTACACGACTGAAGTTCAAAGGAACACAACTGCGGTATCATTCGGGACCATTCGCGACAGTGCCCGGTCCAATACTGAGAGAATATTGACCGG